TGCACATATTTGGAGCATCTAAAGTGTACTTCATGTTTTCTATTTTTAGGTTTATTTCGGTTCAAATTGCAGAAGAAATAAATTCTTGGTATAATAATTGCAATTACATGCAGTTTCAGGGTGGAACAAGGACCTATACGGTATATTTAGTAGATATGCAAGCTGTGAGCCCCACACTATATACCAACCATAAGGAAAAGAGGTGTTTATAAGGAGAATTATCACCACAATAATAAAGAAGATAAAAAACTAAAATATTTTTCAAAAATCTGCACACCTATGTATTATGTAATAAGGTGCTAATAATGAAAGTTTTAAAGTCCACAGAATCCGGATCTTACAGTAAATATGGGATTTGCAATTAATATATAAATGTGAAAATTCGTTAGCTTAATTGGGATTATTTGAATTATTTTTTTGTCCTATATTTGTAACCAATAAAGCCATTGTTTTGACATCTATCATATGTATATCATATGTACTTACTCATTATGAACAAATTGAAATTTTTATTATTTTTCATTTTATTTCATTAATAGCCTCATATACACTATACTTTATTTATGTTTTTTAAATATTTTAATTTTCAGTTATTGTATCATTATTTTTATATATATTTACCTAAGTGATATATAGATAAGATTATAAACTTATTAAAAAAATAGGTACACCATATTTTTGTGTTTTATTTTCCTAAACAAACATATGATCATCATTGGCTTGGATATACAGTATGTCGCTAATGTATGGAATAAATTCATTATAATGGAAGTAGCTGGTTTTTCGAAAAAATGCTCGGACAGGTCAATTTTGTTTACTTAAAGCGCAATTTTTTAAATAAAATTCAATTTTCCCCCACTTCCCATTTTTGGGCAGTGACGTCATTGACAATTTTTTTAAATAGCAACCCCAATTTTTTTTTCTTGATTTTGATAGATCTTGCAATTTCCTACTCGGAAACATGATATTTGAAATATCTGACATAACAATTTTTTTTGAAAAAAAGTCATTTCAAGATCAGATACATAAATTTTATGTTATTTTGAAACACAATAAATTAATAACAGATAATTATTTGTAATTAAATGCTTAATCTAACAAAATATTAATAAAAAAAATAATAATAAAAAGAATTTGTGAAATTGTCATTAAATTCGTTTTATTATTATTATTATTATTATTATTTTTTTTTTTAAATTAAGCACTTAATTACAAATAATTATCTTTTATTAATTTATTGTGTTTCAAAATAACATAAAATTTATGTATCTGATCTTGAAATGACTTTTTTTCAAAAAAAATTGTTGTCAGATATTTCAAATATTACGTTTCTTCCAAGTAGGAAATTGCAAGATCTATCAAAATCAAGAAAAAAAAATTGGGGTTGCTATTTAAAAAAATTGTCAATGACGTCACTGCCCAAAAATGGGAAGTGGGGGAAAATTGAATTTTATTTAAAAAATTGCGCTTTAAGTAAACAAAATTGACCTGTCCGAGCATTTTTTCGAAAAACCAGCTACTTCCATTATAATGAATTTATTCCATACATTAGCGACATACTGTACACAAATCTGACTCATCTACTACAAATATGATTAAAGAAAGTTTATCGGTGAAAATATTAAATTTAAAATCACGTTATTCGTTTTATTACGAAAATAATTCGAAATACCAGTTGAAGACATAAGTATATTAGTACATAAAAATCATTTGTTTAAAAAAATGTGACATCTCATCTTTATCCACTTGTGTCTTCAGTTATTTACATTTAAAACAATTTAATATCTTATTTTGAATATCATATTTGCTACATTAATGGTTTTTAAAAACGCCCTCCTTTTTTAAATACCAGTTATAAACATTAAAAAACTATTTTAACACTTATTTTTATTATCCTATTTATGTAATTTTTTATCTAACAATTAGTGAAACATGTACAATGCTATTGCTTTTACTTGTTTTTAAAATTTCGCGCGTATATTATGATAATATAGCGAGCATGCGCATTATGTGGAGCCGAGAGTGGCGTTTAGCATCTCGTTTTTGAAAGAGGACTACGACAAAACAGACACTAGTCTAGTTCACGCCTCCTCCGAAGAAGCTATTTATCAATTTTATTAATTTTAATTACAATATAATTTACATGTATACAAACTGGAATGTAATAATAAATTTGAATTTGAAATTTGATATTAAACTAATTTAATCCCACTAATATAATTTTTCCATTAGCAAAGGCTATAAGTAAGTCAATAAAAACTTTACGTATACAGGCCTCGAGTATTACTTTTCCTTATAAATTGCACAGATATATATGTTTTTCTGAAAAATTTCATAAAACATCACTTTACAAAAGCAATAAAAGCATTTGCATAAAGAAAGGGGCGATAGAAATTTATCCGCGCATCGGACCGATAAATCTGTACGACTTTATTAGATATCTCCTAATTTATGGGGCTTGTCTTGAACCGCTACTACAAATAGCAGCGACTGAACATCGCTTATAAAATATATCGGTGCAATGTGAAAGACTCCGATGCCAATATACCTTGTCACAAGGGTCCGGATGGGGACCGAAAGGGGAGGTTGCTTTCCTGAACGGTGCGAAACTTTGTTTTCATTAAGTTTACAATTGAAATTGCTTTACATAAATTAATGAAAGCGCTAATAAAAAAGCTTTACTGTATTGGAGACATCAAAGACGGTCACGCAAGTTTGTTTAATATTCTGTGTTTGCGATAAACAAAGCGTTTTTACATGTTTAAGAATGTTTGTGTAAAATTTTTGGAGAAAAAGACAAAGACAGTATCGCTTTATGGAATATAAATTACCAGAATAATTGCCAGAGAGACGAGCTGTAAAATTCATGGGCGTCGCCACACGAGGGTACCTTTAATGTATACTAGGATGTCCCTTTCATGGATGAAAAAAATTTTTTTTTCTGTATTCGAATTGCATACCCCTTATTTCTTTTTAAATTCGCTACACTTACATAAATACAAAATTTTATCTGTCTACGTCTACATTAACTCTTTCCGTTATGCAGCTAAATCAAGTGAAATATATATTTTATAAAAATTATAATCGAAAAGATTAGATACTTATTTATTAAAAGAAGATAAAATTACAGATCAGGCAGGATAATTCCTTTTGTGGGTCACGTTTTTACAGTCTGGATACAGATTTCTATACTCTTGCTCACCAGCGTAGCAAAAATTTCTTTTGTTTCTCCTTTGCAGTAATCAAACCATTAATGTCTTGCATAAGTTTTACCCTTGTTACGAGCTAAAAGTTACCTTACTGAGCAATATATTTAAAATGTATATTAGTTACCTTTTTTCATATCATATTATCATATTTTCAATCATACAAATATTTAAATTTAATTAATTCCATACCTCAATTAGATTCAAGAGTTAAAATGAAACAAATGAACTTTATTTAATAAAATATATTTGTATAACTATAAATTTTATATGTTATTTTTCGTGAAGAATCCAATTATTTTGGCTGGTTGATCCTCCATATTTCATTTCTAAAATAATAGAAAATAATTAGAAATATTCAAATCTTGTAAACAAATAAATATAACCTTGTCTAAGACTTGTCATATTCTTCTTTGTCTCTTCTTTTAATTTCTAATTTGTCATTATTTCTTAAAACAGTAATTTCTCTTAAATCAATTTAAAGAAGAAAACAAGATACCAATTAATTTATTTCTAAAATATTTGCAAAAAAAGGGGTTTGTGCATTTTTTGCGTGAAGCACATTTTCTGAGAAAGTTGCTTGTCTGCATTTTACGGATTTTCTTCGACAAACCTTATATTTAGTGAACTAAAAGATGTTGTGTTAATACTAAACAATAATCTCAACATTGTGGATAAAAATTCCGAATATTTAGAGTTTTTCAACTTTTTTTATATTAACTTACTTCAATTGAAACCCCTTTGTGGCCATCCATCATCCAAGGCCTCTTATGCAGACTTTCACTTTAACTCTTATGCTGATTTTTAATCTCATTTCCATTCAAATTTCAATCTGAAGTTTAATTTTTGATTTTACTATATCTAGTCTGGAACCGGTAGGTTCCTAGACACCGAATTACTTAGACACCAAATAAAGCTAGTGGAGGAATCCAACCAGTCCATCTCTTTGAGTTTAAAACAACCGGAGACTCAACTAATGATTAACAGCCAGCAGACCTAAAAAAACAGTCAAGAATAATATTTAAATACTAACCTTATTTATACCTAATCATTTTTTTAGTATGCAATTGTCTTTTCATCCGATTTGTGCCGTTCATACCTATTTGCTTTGATTTTATAAAATTTATCGTTCCAATTAATCTTATTTTATTAATATTATTTATTGACTATATTTATTTCTAGAAATAAACTACATCTTACCGTAGGTTGTTACAGCAATTAATAAACTTAATTCATTGATTTACATGGGTACCAAAGAGAAGCTCTTCAAGCCTTCATATCTTCAGATTATCTCTGATTTGTGATTGCTTTTCAAACTACCTAAAATCATTTTTATTTATATAAAATAATAATTAATTTATATAATTACTCACCTGTTTATAATCCAGTTGTGCTTATTTATTTGAAACCATAAAATATATATATATATCTACTCTCATCACTTAATAGAAAATATTCCACACTATTTTTGTTTTCTTAAAACAACCCGAATCTGTTTTAAAAGCAAACAAAAACTGTTTTTAATTCACTACAAAATGGTGCCCAACGTATCAATAACTGCCCTTTTTGTTTTGCTTCTTAATAAGCAACATCTTCGTCCCACGTAGAAGCGAGTCTCTGGAGGAAGTTCTCATCAATTTTTAATCAAGAAAATATATTTTTACTCCTAACAGATACAAAATATATTAATGATTTTCCTGCAACAATAAATAAGGCAGTATTATTATCAGTTTAGTAAAAATATTATAAAAAAATTAATATATGCCTACTTACCCAAACTCCCTCTTTGTAAGTTCAGTACAATATATTCCTTGGTTTGTTCATCAACTTCATCATCAAAGAGTGATAGAACGGCGCAATTTCTTCTGAAAAGTACCAAGGATGTTGAGTAAACTTGTTCAGGGCTGCTTTGGAGATCAACTTGTCAACAGGTTCGTATTCCTTAAGCCTCTTTAAGAAGCACAAATCTTGATTTGGTGCATTCACCGTTAGATTACATTGAAGCCATGGTTTCACATATATAACCGTAATGAATAAACAAACGTCTGGAAGTACTCGTTTATCATTAGCGCTAATTTTGAATTGAGATTTGTACAAATCTATTTTTAAAGAGTAAATAGCTCTAGCCATCCACCTAGCTTGACGAATCGCTTCAGAAGATCTGATTTTAATTTTTTTCCCATCTCCTCCTAAGAAAAGAATTAATAGTTCAATCAGTTACCGCTTTGAGTTAGGATTTTTTTATATTTCAACCCTTCTGTTAAAAATACCTTTACCATATTTCAAATATTAGAATCAAAAATAATTCAAGGCTGTCCCTGTTGAATTTACTTAAGAATCAATTTAGGACAAGGTTTGCAAATTCAATGAGATAAAAATAACTAACGCAACTTATTATCCAATAGAAATGCACGAATGTAAATTCGAAAATATTGATTAATTAAATAAAGACAGTTGGTAATATGTATGCGCGAAATGAATGCGCGAGCCGTAACGGTTTTTCGACCGCGGCAGGTAGCCTCTCAGGCTCGTCTCAACCTTTATCAAAGTTACATCGACAATTTGGTTTTTAACCCACGCTTTAATGGTAATTAAATAAATATTCTGAGTAAAAAATGTATATAGTGTAAATATTTAACCAACAATGTAGTGTTCTGTTTGTGTTACATTAAAATAAACTCTGTTTTTTGTTTGTCATCAGCATCAACTACTAAGGTTATTAGCCTCGTAGGCTTTGTTACTGTTCCCTAGCGCCACTTTAGGAACAGCGCTGTTAATTAGAACCCAACAGTGTTATTACTGAAATGTTCATCTTTCTATCTTCGATTTTTTAATGCAAAGCCAATGGTTTGTGAACACGTGGAATACAGTCTTCTATGGTATTATAACCGAGTTTTGCATGCAAAAGGTTTTATATCCTCATGCAGGCGAAATACTTCCTAACCCCCTTATTTTTATTAAATTTACTTCAAAATCATTAGGCTTCGTTCTATTATAGAGCCACTATGTCTGATTTTTATGATTCTTTTTTTTTTTTTGTTAGATAGGGGATACCTCAGGAGTAGTTCCCTATGCAATTTTTATTCAGATTTTTTAAAATCGATTGGATTCGTTCCTTATTATAGAGCTTGATTTTTCTTAAAATTTTCAAGTTCATTATTATTTAAAAAAAATGGAAAACTAAATTCAGTCCTGATTTTCTTTCTTGTTTTTCGGTTTTCTTATGTACCAATTAATACCAAAACGCTGGCGCCCTTTGGGGCTTTTCGCTCTTAGTGTGCCTAGTGGTAAATATTTAAATGATTTCCTGTTTACTGCTTTAAGGGGAAAACCATGGCGATTTAATTTAATTTTTTCATTAAAAATCTTTATACATAGAAACCAAGAGAAAAATGTACAATACAAAGATGCATGCTGGGTATTATAAGTAGGGATATATAAAAGTTATAACTGAAGGTGGAGCCTAAATACAAAACTAATTCCGAGAATAAAATAATATCTATCATTATTTTAAAAATTGTATGCATAACATTGAAAATGGGATTTCTAACAACAAAAAGGCAAAATACCTACATACATTTTTAAATAGATCCTGAACGGTCAGAGAAATGTCCCTAAGTTTTAATAGAAAGCTTCGTCTTGGGCACCAAATTTGAAAAAATATTTAAAGACGCTTTTGGTTTATGGAAAATTTTCAATATTGATTTCATTTTTAAAACTCTGTATTCCATTAATTAAGCCCTTGAAAAATTGATATTTCTATATCAAAATGTATTAACTTCAAACGAGAGCTCTCTGGGGTAGAGCATTGTCGGTCAAATATACTAACATCCTGTTTATAAATGAAATGTATATTATTATATAAAATAAATCTAGTAACACATCCAGGCAGGAGTTGGATCAGAATAAAATTAATGAAGGTAAAATAATTTACGTTTACACGTACAATCTCCCTGAAGCTTAATCAGATTTCAGTTTTACAAGTAACGAATTTTCCCTCATTTTGACACTCGGTTCTCCTGCACAAAACGGAGTGAAATATGCATGACGTAGCCCGGCATGGAAGAGTATAGCAATGAGATTTTCCCCTGGAACTCGACTCACTCGTTAAATGTTAATGTCGATTGTAAAACTCGCCAGTTATAAATCTTCCGACCTAAATTATATTTGTCCGGAACTTGTTTTATGCTTTCCCCATTCCTGCTAAAATGGATCGATCCATATTTTATGAAGAAGTTGACGAGCAAAATTTATCCAACGATAAAATTATATTAACCCCAGTTTATCGCCATGCCAAAATTAGCACATAAAAAATTAAACGGCTTTTTCGATTTTCGATAATGTTACGTTGTTGGGGGAATTCAAAGAAGCCTTATAGAATTTGGGAAACTTAGTATTTCAACGAATAATTCGAGAGACGCTAAAATAGTGGTTCCTACCTTATCGAGACTGAGGCCCACAAGGGTAAACTCGTAAACGAGAAATGATTTAACTTGGAACGAAAAACCGAAAGCCGATAATAATGTGACGAAAGTCTAATTTATTTAAAGTTTATTTATTTAAAAACACACTATTTACCATTTATTTCAGACATACTATTGAATTTATGTAATATATAGGCACTAACTAACAATTCTAATTTATTTCTTACACTTTAACTTTTCAATACAATGTTCTACATTAAACTAAACTCGGCGCTGATACGTCGGCTATTTATATTAGTCCAAATCCGCTACTGAAAAATACGAGAGGCTCTCGAATATTCCTTTTTATGACTAAGCGGCACTCTCCGCCATTCCAGTCGCTTCCAGTGCTTCAGCGGCAGACATTCCGTCGTATTCTTTTACATTCGAGACGCAGTCCGGCGGTTTCCACACGTCAGCATTGCTTCGATCACGAATTGGTTGCCATGTGAAGGCCGCATGCGCAAACAGGCACAAGGTCGGATTAGGGATATCATGACAATAATTATAAGACGTTGAATTTTTTGGTTTGTGAAGCATTGGCATTACTTAGGTTAAACCATATGATGATTTTTGCAAGCCTTGATTTTTAAAACCATTCTATATTGCCTTTTGATTAAGGTTTACAAACTTTTTCGAGCAATTTATCCAATAATAATTGGCCCCATTACCTCTTAAGCCTGCTCATGTAAAATATTTGGACTCCTTACTTCGCCTATTTATCTAAAAATATTTGCTCCCTTTTAAATATATCCATGTAAAATTATATGATCTCTTTACTCCCTTAGATCTGTTTATGTAAAAATATTTGAACCCATTGTTCGTTAAGCCTACCTAAGTATAAAAATTTAAAATGGGTTCAAAAAAGCGGCAACATCTTTTTTCATTTTGATAAATTTATTAATACCAATTCTTTGCGCAGTGCATTTATCATTCTGAGAGTTTAAAAATAGTAGTGTTGGACGACTACTGATATATTTTTTACATATTTTTTACATATTTTTTACATATTTTTTACATATTTTTTACATATTTTTTACATATTTTTTACATATTTTTTACATATTTTTTACATATTTTTTACATATTTTTTACATATTTTTTACATATTTTTTACATATTTTTTACATATTTTTTACATATTTTTTACATATTTTTTACATATTTTTTACATATTTTTTACATATTTTTTACATATTTTTTACATATTTTTTACATATTTTTTACATATTTTTTACATATTTTTTTACATATTTTTTTACATATTTTTTACATATTTTTTAATTTTTTTTTTTTAATTATTAAAAATTTTCGGGTTGTTTTTGTCTTGGTTTTGGGAAAATTTACTAAAAAAGCTAATCGGTCTTGTAAATCACTAATTTTTATGCAATGCATCTCATTAGTCGGACAAGCTTCTATTGTGCCTATTATTAAAGACTTTAAGAAATAAATACCTAATTGTATTAGGTATGTGATGAAAAACCTTAATCAATAGAATTTTATCGTCTGATGATAATTAGTTAGGATGAACCGAAAGTTCTGAAAATCAATAGGGTTCTAAGTTAGAAGCAATTGAGGCGTTATTCGGAAAAACCTCATTTGTTCAAAACTAATAATTTTGGGAAAACAATATTTTACCACTTAGTAGGTGTAAACAAATATGAACAACATTTTCCAAAACATTTTGCAATTTTTTTTTTCAAAACAATATGAGAAAACCAAAAAAAATACTTGGACCTATAAGGATTTTAAAGGAAAAAATTAGGAAATATGTTCTTATCAAAAATAAAAAGTAAATTACCCACTATAACTAACCACATAAGCTTCTAAATAAAAGTAAACACAAAAAAAACTTCAAAACTTTATCAGGGTTACAGAAACAATTTTTTTTTTAACAGTAATTTAGTAGTCTTCACAGCCACTGCTATTATCATCATTGTCGATAGTATTATTCATAGCTGCGGTGTCAAGTTCTTTGCTCTTCTGGTTTTTAATCAAGTCATTATAAAAATTTTTGTTTCTCTGGTTGTGTAGAAGAGGCAAAAGGTTTTCTAGAGTATTCAGTTTGGTTTTCTTCATTGGAATTGGCAGAATGTATGCATGTTCTAAATTTATTTCTTTTTTCATGGATATTCTTGAAGCTACAAACGATGACGGCCATGTCCCAGTGTATCTATCTCATAGGAGTACACAACAATTGGTATTTTCAATTCGGAACATTCTTAGATTTTTTGTGTTAACTGCTGGTTTTGGATTTTTAAAAAAAAATTGTCAGTTGCACTTTTTATGTCAAAAATGATGGATTGGTCGACTTTGACAAATCTAAAAGGTGACGGTTTACTTCATGATTGTAAAATAACATTATCCCACCCATCTGGACAAAATCTATTATTTAACAAAATAGGACTAATGAGGTTTTTCCGAGCAACGCCTCAATTATTCAAGAAAATTAAAACCGCAAGTAAATCAAAACTTTCATTGTAGAGTTATCGTGCATACATACGCACAGACGACCAGACGAATATTTTTTTGCATTTGCGCACTCATAATAACCGAAAACGTGAAAAAAAGTTTAAAGAAATGGGGATACCAATTTTTTTTGCACGAATGCAATACTGAGGTCCCATAGGAACGGCCTCGGTAATTGCCATTTTATATTCTTGAATTATTAAATATTGCTTATATTAAGTTATATCAGTTTTAATGCTTTTATGGAAAATTTACAGGATAAATCGTGAATACAGCCAAATACAATTTTTGATATTTTAATTCAATTTATTTTAGTTTTGTACATTTTTTTATTTAATAGGTACAAAATTGTAATGCTCTCAATAAAAAAATGCATGATGTTCTTCAAAATAATATGTAATTGAAATTAATTAAAAAACGAATGAACAAATTTTCTCGAATTTCTTAACGGTTTACAATTTCTATTATAAAGTAATTTTATAATGTAATGAAATGCTTGACCAACACTCTCAGTTATAAATTTTATCTTGGTAACAAGTCTCTGTAGATGAAAACTGATACGAAAAGGAAGCAGTGGATAATGCTATAATGACCAGACTAGTCACATTAGATTACTGCAGGCATTAGAGAATTGGGCTATAGAAAGATGATGTTATCAACCTCACAAATGGCATTGGGGTGTGAAATGACCGTATGGGCTCAATCTCCCTGATCAGGTGGAGTTTTTCGCCTGGAAAATGTTCGATAATCTAATCATTTTGAGAATCCACAAATTTCTCTGTGATGGAAATAAGTAATTTTCGAGTGACCATGCCCTAATGTTCTTCTCTCTTAACAAGGACGGATAGGGTTTCGAATGTAATTATGTTAATCTATTTGCTAATCTGTTTTTAAGAGCTTTTTCAAAAATCTTTGATAAATGTGTTTATTAATGAAATTGGTCTATAATTTGTTACTACTGTGTCATCTCCTTTTTTATATATGGGGACAACAATTGTCTGTTTATCAAATGATTTTGTGGTGTTACAATAAATTTAGATATATTTTTTAATATTTCGGCCTTAGTATTGTCAATACCAGGACTTTTATTAAATTTTAACTCGTTAAAAATAGTTTCAATTTCTCGTTCGGAAGTTGGAAATAGAACAAAAAAATATAGAGAATATTACGGGGTGCATCAAGGATACCGTTTTTGTTGTGCGGCTCTCGTTGGCTTTCGGTAGCTCTCGCCAGCTCTCGGCTCTGAGCAGGCTCATCGCTTTTTGACGGTGTGTATTTTAAATTAAATGTTTACGTTTGGCGTTGGCGCGCTAAACTCTAAACTAACCTCTCTTTTGAGATCTTTTTTCGAATTTGGAAATTTGGAGAATTTCACCCTCAATTTTAAACAAATTGTGTTTTCTAGTTTTTATTTTACAGACTAAAGAAGTGTATTTACTTTTGGCACGCGCAGGAACAAGTTTTCACTATAATTTTCGCGATTACTTTTGCGTTCCTTGTTTTGAGTGTATTTTTTTCAGCTTTATATCATTTTGATTTCAAATGGATAATAACACGTAAGTTCAACCGTTCTTTGACTTAGGTTCCTGCAAAATTAATAATATTAATATTGCAAGCAAGGATTTTCAAAGAAATTTAATCTTAATCGGCACTTGAAAAATATCCATAATAAGGAAAATGAAGTACTATTCTTTCAGTCAAGTGGTAAAAAAAGTCGCATAATATGTGTTGTTTACTCAGTTACAAAAGTATTCTTATTTTTGCTATAAAAACACCTAGAATGTTTTGCTTTAAAATAATAACTTTTTAGGTTATTGGTGTTTATCGAACATACAAGGAATATATTAAACTCATAAGATTAATGTAGAACAAACGACCTATCATTTCAATAATAAAGACGGTTTTGAAAATTGGCACTGCAGAGGAAACCGAGATGTAGATTATGTAACTCAGAACAACAGTATGAATAAAACTTCAACCAAAATATATTACAATTGTAACAGAAGTGATACCCAAGTTAAATCTAAAATAAGGCCCTATTTTTAAATTTGTCTAAATTTGAAATGATGAAAACAACAAAAATTCAAATATACTATATAATATACAACTTACCTACTTGATCCATCCTTCTGTGAGCAAATTCTGCCACACCAAAATCATTTAATTTTTGTTACACTTTTTTAACTTTAATATAAATGTAATGTAGATTTAGCTGGTTAAATTTGAGGGAATATTCTAGGGTATATTAGCAACTGCAGCAAGAAACTTTTAAAAACAGGTGGAAGTATTAAAATTAACGAAACGTGTCCATCAAGAATAATTGCATCAGTTTTACCTGAGGGTATGTGCACAAATATATTGATATTTTTCTATACTCGGACAAAATATTGAAGAAGGTGAGTCATATGCATGATCAACACTGTTGTCTATGAATGAAAATTCCGACAGAGTTAGCATAGGCGGCGTATCAAATACCAAATAATTATTTAATATTTATTAGATGATGTGTTAAATATACGTTTTTGATAGTTTTCAAGAAATGAATATATTTATTCCATAATGACTTCATTATCTGTGTTTAATGGTTTTAAATTAAGAGAAAACGAAGAAATTCCATTAATGAGCCGTGAAAGTTTACGAAAAATTTTATGGGGCCTAAAATTTCGTTTTTCAAACGGTGTAGGAAATCAATTTTAATTGAGAGGTCAGATATAGTGTCCTGGCGACGGCGTTATTTACGAAATATTAAAGAGTTTAGAGCCGCTAAAAAAAAGATATACTATCTCGATGAAACGTGGGTGAATGCTGGACACACGGTATCTAAGATATGGAGAGATACTTCTGTAACTAGTCATCGCCAAGCTTTTATAGAGGTATTATCTACAGGTTTGAAAGCACCATCAGGTAAAGGACAGCGCCTAATTGTTACCCATATCGGAAGTGACAGTGGTTTTATGGAAAATAGCGCGCTTGTGTTTATATCGAAAAAAACAGGAGATTACCACGAGGACATGAATGCGGAATGCTTTGAAAAATGGTTTACTGAAGTATTACAGCGTGTAGAACGAAATTCAGTTATTGTACTAGATACCGCTTCTTATCACAGTCGACGAGTTGAACGCATTCCGATAATGTCCAATAGGAAAGCGGATAGGTATGCAAACCTGGCTGCGGGATGAAGCAATAACATTTACTGAGGAGATGCTTAAAGTGGAATTAAGGGACCTAATAAAGGAACACCGCCATAAATATATTCAATATGTTGTCGACACAATGGCTCGTGATCGTGGTATTACGGTACTAAGACTTCCCCCTTATCACGGCGAATTCAATCCTATTGAACTAATTTGGGCGCAAGTGAAAGGGTTTGTTTAAAATAGCCGACGTTCAAAGTTTATTAAAAACAGGTATTGAACGTACAAAACCTGAAGATTGGGAGAATGCTATTTCCCATGTAATTAAGGAAGAAAATAATATGTGGCGTTTGGACGCTATGATCGAAACGGTAGTTGAAACTTTAGTCATAACTTTAAGTTCCGACGATAAAGACGATTCCAGTGATAGTTCTGCAGAATCAATGGATTACGAAACTTCATGGATTTAGAATTCAAGTAAGTAATACCAAGCTTTATTTACATATTTTTATAATAAACAAAATACAGTTATAAACATAGATGAATTATTATAACAAAAATAGATAACCAACCTACTTTCATCTAGTATTATTCACAAATACCCATTTAATTTGCCAATATAGTATTTCTGCGACACTGGAAGAATGCATTTTGATATGATAACGATACCTTTTGCAGTTTTAAGGTGCACCTTCTTCAATATTTTGTTCTAGTGTAATACCCCATTTAATTTTCCAATAGTGTTTCTACGCCACTGGTATAATATTTACATATTTTAACAATAAACAAAACAAAAGATAAATGATAAAAACATAAATGATTATTACTACAACAATAGATAACCAATTTACTTTCATATAATATTATTCACTATTACCGCATTTAATTTGCCAATAGTTTTTATACGGTTTGGACATTTTATCATTTTCTCAAAAAGATAAGTTTTATAATGTTTTATACAAGGAGCAGTGCATGTATACTACCAATTGCCGTGAAATGTTTAGTGAAGCATGTAAGGTGTGCTTTCATAAGTATAAGTGTGAATGTGTTGAATATTCTGTAAAAAGTACTACATGTAAGCATGTTCATGTGGTGGCTATGTATAAACAAGAGCGGAAGCAATTTCTTGCAGCATCAACAACCGAGGAAGTCCCTAGTATTGAAAATGCAATCCTACAAACAACAAATGCTCAGAAAGAAATCAGCGACTTTTTAGGCGAAAAAAGCACTGCCGTCAACTGCAATAGAGAAATAAGTATCGAACAGAAGAAATCATTAGTTATGGAGCAAGCTTTAAATTATTTAAATCAAATGTCTGGTTTAGATAATAATTCATTTGCAGGTATATCTTTTGAAGATGTTAATATGTACAATCATTGTAGCTTGAAATAGTTACAGTATTTGAGAAAAACTTCTATGGATTTAGGACTAAGTACAACAAAGATTTGAAGATGACAGACAACAAGAGGAAATTTGAAAATCAGACATACTACCCACAGAAAAAAAGAAATAGTTAGGTACATCCAGAAGACGCTTCACAACCATAAAATACATATTAGTCTTAAGGTTGTACTTTTTTTTTGTTTTTATTAAATTTAATCAGTACTCTAACAGCCGTATGCATAGTCGATTGCCAGCGACCCGCCAGAGATTCATTTCGGCGTATCGCCTTACTCCGTGTCGTAATTCTATTTTCTACATGTTATTTGGTATACACAAAACAATGAAAATACAATGTTTCAAAGTGATACCTTGCCAAGGATAACAATGCGACATACGATTTTTCTAGCTTCTACTTCGACTGCTTCGACATATTTGTATCTGGACAACTTATATAGGCCTTTATCTGCTCACTGGTATACGACCTAGTTACATCAAAAGACGAGATGATGTTATATGCCGTTTATAGGTATAAGACAATTCAGGAAAGAGTTGGTACCATCACTTCTCAAGGCAAATGGACCCATGCACATAATCATCCTAATTTATTCATCTTTTGTATCGCCACAAAACTCGATAACAATCCACTACAGTGTCTTTATTATCACTCCCCAATGACAACAGATATTCACGATTACGTGGAAAAACCATGAGAACAGTTTATTCACAAATATCAGAAGTAAAAATTAAAAAAACTTGAAATTATCCAACACAGTAATCAAAATAGTAGAACTAAAAAAGAGTTAGATTATGTTATCTGTCATAATATTTGAATCTCGTCCATTTGGCGCCCGCCTGAGTCGGGATATATCTCCGATCACAGTCGATAGTGGGCGAGAGCCGCACAACAAAAACGGTATCCTCTCGATAGGTTGGATTTAACCCTGTTTTTTCAACGCTTTTTCAGGGATTACGAAACAAAACTAACAGCAGACACAACTACAAGAGATAAGTTCCATTACCGACGTTCCCACAATAATCAAAATTGCCCTATAATATCTACGGATAAGGAGATGGCACTTAATATTCAGAAAATTTTTAAACCACTTGCATTAGTGATGACGGGTACGAGACGACGCCCACATTTCTCCAGCCTAGGCCAGAGGATTGCGGCGAAGAAAGTTCGACGATGCGCATTTATGTAGTGGTGAATTTTTACTTGTAAATACGTAAATGAATAAAATTTTGAGTTTGAGATAGGTTGGATTTGGCTTAATATTTTCAGTCAGTTTTTTTCCAAAATTTATATAGGTTTTATTAAAAATATTTGCAATTTCCTTGAATGTAGTTATTGTTTCCCCTTTCGAGATGTTTATTGAATTTATATTTTTTTTGTTTCTCTAGTGGGTTAATTTAATTTATTGTTTTTCAAAGTTGTTGGGGGTTACAGGAGTTGTTTTGAATATTTTTGTTAATTACGCTTTTATAATAGTTATTTTTCACAGTTTTATAGGATTAGTTACTTTGTTTTTATATGTTTTATATTGTTGTTTAATTTCTAGGTTATTCGGGTTTTTTAATGTTTGTTGAAAAAGTGCATTCTTCTTATTTACTTATTTTTTTAGCAACAGGGACAGAATTTGTGTGTTTTTCTTCTTAATTCTATTTCTTGTGTGCTATCTTTTACAAAATTAGATAAAGTAATAATAGTAGACAGTAGTCATTATTGTGTTTACCAAATAATCTAGATTTTTATAAAATACTTTGGTGAGTATTTAAAAAACATCGTCCAAATCGAAAAGCAACGTTAAAAATTAACAGACATTCAGATCCAATAAACCCTAAAATGTTTTTTCTTTATTTTCAAATATATACTAGAGTAAATATTGGATCCGCATTGAGAGTTTTTTAAAACCCGAAGCGAAGCGAGATGAAAAAAGAAAAGGAAAACATCCGACAACTGCGTAGATTAGAAAACGAAAAGAAAAATGACCAGCGTCCAGAACGTGTAGCGCTTCATTCCGTAACTGGAAAACTTATCAAAGTTTGATGGCCGTGCTCGAGGCACTTCTAACTCAACTTTCTTGATAAAAGCACAAATAACTAAAACAAAACTTCCCTTCCATTCTTTTCCTTCCACTTTTCCTCGCTTCCGGCCAATGCCAGAGTCTGCAGACACCTGGATATATAAAACTTCCGTATTTTTAAGCCTGGTCGAATCTTTTATTTTTCATATTGTTTGGAAAAATCTGCAATAGCCGAGGAAAAACTACGAAGTAAGCATTCAAAAGTTTTTAAATTAGTCACTATAATGTTGTGGATGCCTACATTTTAATTAAATACTGGTTTATTTGAAATTCTTCTTAAAACTTTCGTTAAATAATATAATATAAAAAATGCTCAATTTATTTTAAAAATATGCATGAGATCTCTTTTAAAAAGCATACAACGTAATTATTTTTTAAGAAAAGAAAATAATCTTTTCCGATATACATAATAGTGTTTTTCCTGTTTTTCTTCTAATTCAACTAACGCGGTTAAAAATGTTTAATTATATTGATTTTATTTCTATTATAAAAAAAGTTAATCAAATCCGTAGCACAGCCAAGGC